TCTTATAGTGAAACTAACTTACTAGTCCAGATTTAAAACTATTGTAGTTGCACACTTGGATCGCATTTAGCAAAAAGGAACCAGCGCAATTACAATGTTTTAAAAATGTTGCTTCTTCATAATTATCTAAAAAATCTCATAGAATAGCAAATGTTCTTTGCTTCCCACCAAAAAATTGGTAATTTTAAAGAGGAATATTAGTGTGAATTTTAATACTGCACGTATTTCGAGCATTTTTAAAAGGAAAAAAGAAGTTGCACGATTTTGAAAACACTGTAGTGGCGCTGGCCCTTTTTTCCTAAACGCGATCCACTTGATGTCAGTCTATCGCACCGGAGACTCTTAACCCAAAGAGTGAGCGGAAACTGACGTTAGATTGTCCGTAGACAAGCTGTGACACATTTTTCGGGTGTTGCAAAACGGAGTTCAAGAACGAGAGGTCCCCGTCACTGCTCGGCTGGCGCGGAGCGCGGACCGTGATTAGAGTGGCGTTATGTAAATTAGCCGGCAACGGCGAGAGGTCAACGGCTCTGCACTGACCGAAAGTTCGTCAAACTCGCGTTAGCGCCGCCGAAGGCTCCCGTGCAGGATGCAGGGATGACAGCGGTGGCGACCGGTAGAGGACTAGAGGAGTCAGACAGAGACGGAGGAGTCAGACAGTGACAGAGAGAGAGGGCGGAATCAGCGGCTCACTGGAATGGTATCAGTGTTACGCTCGGTGAATCCGGGGAAGATACCGATCACGGCCCGACCGACAGTCGACACACGACCGACTACCGACCGGAGCCTTACGTAACGTCCCACGCACCGCCACCGGCACCGTCTCCAACCCGATTTTTACCGCCGCTCGAGTACCTTCCCCGAGCTTTCGCGAAATTTAGAGTGGTCGGTGTTAGGCGAAAGGGAACCGAGAATTTTGGCGAACGAGGGGTCTGCTCTGATTGTGAGACGCTGCCTATAATTAACGAAAAAAAAAAATGTGCTTGGCTCAAGCATGATGATTCTTAAAGTTGCCTTTAAGAAATGTCTTTTATCTTGAAATAAGCTAAATTTTTCTTGGTACAAGAAAAATATTGCTTGGGTCAAGCAAAAAAGTAGGTTACATTAAGCAGTAATTCTTGATTTACAATGGAAAAAAACACATTGGATCTAGAGTCCAGACAGGAAAAAATACTCTTGATTCAATCAGATTGAAGCTTAAATCAAGAACCTGTCCAGTGCCAAATACATGAGAGGCAGTGGAAGGACAGGGTACTGTGACGGTTGGGTGTCGCAGAGCGTCAAGCGCCTCTCATGTATGCACGCAAAGAATTATTCAATTTAATGAAGAAAAATTTAGATCACCCCAGGATAAAATGGATGACATTCTCAGATTTAGCAGTCAAAAATAGAAAGGATCAATCCCATACCTAAGAAAAAGTCCCATTTTTGGTTTTTTTTATATGGAATTCTGTTCATTCAAAAATATTTCATTATGTCAAAGCGTCATACGAGTCATTTCTTTGCTATTCCCGTTTTGAGCTAATTTTGTAACGTTCGGGCACCTCCTCGAACATAAAATTTGTCGGAGACTTAAACGAGCGGGTAAGAAAAATGAACGCGCTGATTTCGCTGATCTATTAGCCTCTCGCATTGGTGCTGTTCATAACGGCAGTAACTAGCATTTCGCACTTTTGAGCTCCATGTTGACGAGTGGCTTTCTTCAATAAACTCGATAAAAGATGAGTTCTACTTCCAGCAACGAGAGTCGTGGATTTAAAAGTATAATACCCTCTCCGGCCGATGGTACAATTAATTTTGTTGCCTTGCTACTCGATACCTGGAAAGAAGTTGAACATTATTTATTGGCACAACTGAGAACTAGAAGTGCAAGTTTTTGCACATCATAATCTTATTTTATAACCCATAATTATAGGCGTGACGCGTGGGTGTTACGGGTAACGGATAATGCATAACGCTTCACTCATGTACTCTTCCCAAGCGAATCCGTAAATTAAAAAGGCAGAGTAAAGGAAAGGGCCGTTTTCCGACCCATCCTAGATTCCCGGATTGGTCTATATTATACGGAATGCATCATGACTTTGGCATTTTCGGATCAGTTTCGGGGTTAATGGTGTACACAGGGCTTGAAGGTTGATTTCGGCGAAAAATGCGAGTTTTTTGACATTCAAAAGGAGTCGTTTCATATCGGACTCGTTGGAGACTAAAAAGAAAAACTTGAGCACGTTCACTAGGGATGCAAGAGCACCACATTGGCCAATTTCGGTCGAATAAAACCTTGTCTCATAGGTAAAAAATAATTTTCGATTTTTTTTGCCATTATTGAAAATGATTCAAAAAGAGTCGAATGGTGAGGAAATGGTCGAAGAGAGAAAATGGTCGAATGAAACCTTGTCTTATAGTTAAAAAAACGATTTAGAATTTTGATTTTTCTGCCATTTTTGAAACTGGTTCAAAAAGAGTGACGCACACGCATGGAAAATTGACTTTTTTGGTGGAATTTATGCTTAGAGAGTAATTCAAACATCAGAAAAAACCGACGTTGCCAGATTTATTTTTGTCAGAATAAATTATAGTTCGGCTGTGTCTTATCGCACTTACTAAAAAAGTTCAAAAATTACCTCTAATTATCGGACCTAATGTAGATAATTTAATCAATTTTCGGTTTTGTGTAACTTCATTCTCGTTGCGGCAGTATGCTTTAAAATAAATCGAAAAAAATACGGATTTCCCAGAATTTGCGTAGTTCCTTAACAATGCGCGCAGTCAAAAATCATGTTCAGCTCTTCTTGCAGCATTCAAGGGTGTGAGAAGATATGATGCTAAAATCTTCATTTTTCATTCATCAATTTCAGACCGGTGACGTAGACAGGGGAATGGGGGTGTCCAGGAGGTCTGGACCCCCCTTAACCTCGTTAATAGCACCTTTTTCTGACTTTTGGAGGGCAGACAAGAAATATTATCAGAGACGTACACAAAATGATGTAAATTTACCGTCACGTTTTTGAAAGACCCCCCCCCCTTTAAAGAATGCCTAGCTACGTCACTGTTTCAGACCGTGCGTTCGCGAACGGATGATTATCTCTCGATTTTTTGAGCGAAATCTGCACATGAAACTCAGCCTTAAAATATTTGAGTAGATAGATTTTCATCTCACTTCAAAAACATAGGGCACGAATTAAGACGATGAGTAGCGATGTAAGACTTTTTCACCCTCCCGCTTCTCTTCATTTAAGGAATATCGCCGAACTTCTCCGGAAAAATTATTCATGACCATAAGCGATCCTAATGGTAAAAGCAGGTGGTTGAAAGAAAAACTGAAGGGCATGAAAGACAAGGCGCACAAGTGCATTTTTTGCTCTTTCGAGAAATACGTATTTGAAGTACCGAAATTACACGGATCCGTATGGCGCACAGTGGATCGAGTCTATGAGAGAGGCTGAACAAAATCCGGAAACTTTAAAAGCTTATAACTCTGTTCATACACAACTTTGATGTCTTAAAAGTGGTTTCATTGGTTTCCTTGTGGGATTTTCTTTCGGAAACGCACCTTATAATTGAAAATGTGACGAATTAAACATCAAAAGTTGCAATGGACCACTTGACAAGGTACAAATTTCAGCATTCTGATACATGCTTCGCCACTATAATTTCACGTAAAACACGATGCGCACAACAAAAAATACCAAAATCAACTCCTTTCGAAGATATTCAATAATTCTTGATGCGTCAATTTAAACCACCCGCTCATGAAAACTCAATGCTCTACGTGATTCACATCCCGCGCTAAACATTTATCATGACAGTCTCTGCTATATAAACATTTGGCAACCTCAATCTTGACGCTTTGGCTCAGCTATAGCAAATTGCTTATAGTTTGAAAAACACATGGTGGGAAATGAACATTGCTCGATTGAGAAGCTTGCTGAAACCGTTGTAGTGCGCGATTTGACTCACGTAGAGCTTTGAGTTTCTTGTGAGCGGGCAGTACAAATTCCTCGTAACCAATGTGAAATAAAAACGTTAATATCTTCGTTAGGAGATGGTTTCAGTCATTTTCGTTGCACGAATCGTGTTCTGCTTTAAATTTTGGTTAAGAAACATGTATCAGAATCCTATAATTCGTACCTTGTCTAGTGGTCCATTTTAGTTAAAAATTTCATGTCCGACCTATCTGATTGACTTGATCTACTGTGTGGCCGAAAGAAAGTTCAAACTGACTTTTTGATGCTTTAAAAATTAAACCTCGGGAATTTTCACAGAATATGCATTAAGAACACTGGAAAAAAACACATTGGATCTAGAGTCCAGACTCTTAAAAACATCGACAAGAAAAATTACTCTTGATTCAATCAGAATCTAGCTTAAACCAAGAGCCAAGCCTCTTAATTTAAGAGGATTTCGTTTTGATTCAAGCAAAAATCTGATTGAATCAAGAGTATTTTTTCTTGTCAATGTTTTCAAGAGTCTAGACTCTAGATCCAATGTGTTTTTTTTCCCCTGCACTGTGTGGCGGAGAATAAGTTCAAACTGACTTTTTGATGCTTTAAAAATTGAACCTCGGGAATTTTTACAGAATATGCATTAAGAGTAATTTTTCTTGAAATGATTAATACGCCAATTTTTTCAAAAGCTGCACGTATGCGCCTTGTCCTCGAAGCCCAACTGGAGTGAACCATATTGATAACGAAGGCAGGGATGCTTCGGCTGATGCCGCCAACGCAATCCACGAATCAGATGCAATGCGTACTAAGTCTTGCACTGGAGCCTCTCTTTCCTGCTAATAACGGAGCCGTCGGCGTGCGTCCGTTTATTGTCCATCCCGAGGAAGATTACATAGACCCGGGAGCCACGGCCGCGTGGCCCCTGTCAGGCGGACGCCGGACGCCGGACGCGGGCCGCCACGCGGGGTGGGGACGGGCGGGCACCGCTGGGGGCCCCGCGCGCGCGCTCCATATATATACTTGGCGCCGGCGCCAGGGCACATTAGTACTCGTTCAACGATGAAGCTCGTGTGCGCGGTCCTCGTGCTAGTGTGTGCGTGCGCGGTCCAGTGCGATGATCCCGTTGGCCGATTGGATCGCCCGGCTTCTCAGGCGCAGGCGCAAGTGACTCAAGGCGCCAACAAACCCAAGCGCGAACTCTCCTCCCAGGTCGGCGGCTTCTACAGCCACTCCAGCTTCGGCGGTTCCGAGGGTGGTTTTGGCGGAAGTTCCGGTGGTAGTTTTGGCGGTAGCTCCGGTGGTAGTTTTGGCGGTAGTTCCGGTGGTAGTTTTGGCGGTAGCTCCAGCGGGAGTTTTGGCGGAGGCTACGGCCCCTACGGCGCCCACGGTAGCGGCTCGGAGCACTCCTTCAGCAGCGAGAGCTTCTCGGGATTTTCCGGTGGTGACGATCATAAATTCGAGGGTAGCTTCGGCGGAAGTTCCGGGGGTAGCTTCGGGGGTAGTTTCGGCGGAAGTTCCGGCGGCGGCGATGAGGGTGGCTACGGTCATCACGAGGACCACCACCACAAGCATGAGCACGTGAAAACGATAACGGTCGAGAAGAAAGTCCCGGTGCCATACCCGGTCCACGTGGAGAAGAAAGTGCCGTACCCTGTGAAGGTACCCGTTGACAGGCCGGTCCCAGTCCACGTGCCGAAACCCTACCCGGTGCACATCGAGAAGAAAGTGCCGTACCCGGTGAAAGTCGAGGTGAAGGTGCCGTACCCGGTGGAGAAGAAGGTGCACTACCCGGTGAAGGTGCCCGTCGACCGGCCGTACCCGGTCCACGTGCCCAAGCCGTACCCAGTCTACGTGGAGAAGAAGATCCCCTACCCGGTGGAGAAGAAGGTGCCGTACCCGGTGAAGGTGCCCTATGATCGGCCATACCCAGTGCATATTCCCGTGGAAAAGCCAGTGCCCTACCCAGTGGAGAAGAAGGTGCCTTACCCAGTGAAGGTTCCAGTGGACAGGCCGTACCCAGTTCATATTCCCAAGCCGTACCCGGTGACCGTGGAGAAGAAGGTGCCTTACCCGGTGGAAAAGCCCGTTCCGTACCCTGTCAAAATTCCAGTCAAGGTCCCCGTCCCTGTTTACGTGCACAAGGAGCACCATCACGAACATGGCCATCATGAGCACGGCTTTTGAAGAGACTGTTGAGAGTGAATATCTTATTTTTTAATTGACCGACAGTTGGTGTCAGTTCTCAAGTTCCTTTCGATCATATTCATTGAGTTATGTGCCCAGTACTCAGTGATATCTGATTATGATCGGATAACCCGGACATTGAGGTAAATCAATACTCAAAGTGAACAAACAAGGAGATATCCAACAAATTATCTTAAAATACTGGTGTCAGTTTCAATTTTTCGGAGAAAACTGAACTGTTGCGTCCAAACTGAAAAGAAACAGTGTTTTTCCTCAGGAAACATTGACGCTATTGATGTTTTATACCGGAAAATTGGCGCTGTACTCTGACTTTCACCATAATATCAACCATAGTCGGTGCAATGCACTAATTTTCTGTTATAGTACATAAATTGTGTCAATTCACAGGAGAAACTGGATTAGCTGAGTTAAAATCAATCGTACCGTTTTTACCAGGATCTGCAATTTCTATGGTTTTTTCAAAAAACATTCCCTTTGAAAACCATGAATTAAAGTTAGGAGTGCCTGAGACTGAACGCAAAAAGTGCATTCTTTTAGTCGTAATGAGCCGTTCATTTTCATTCTTGCATGGATACTTTTAGCTTTAGTTTAGGGTTTTTCAAAGAGATTTTTCGGGAACTACCAAAATTGCGCTGTACGTAATACTTCGGTTTTTTTCTAAAAATCAAAAGTGAAACCATGACTGAAACCTCAGTGTTTGTTCGCTTCCGGTATTAGAATCCGGGCATTTTTGTACGAATATTGAACTCGTTTAATTTTTGACCTTTCAAGGGTTTTATTCTGATTTTTTCCAAGATTATGACCTATGGAAAGTAAGTACATTTCCCAAATTAAGATGCTCTGATTTGAAAGTCAAAGTATCGGAAAGAAAATAGAAGAGTATACGGTGGAATCAAGTCATTGATCGATATCGTCAATCAAGGAATAAAGTGTTTAGTTACCATATTTTTTTAACCAATTTTTTCCGGTACTTTGACTCCGAATCAGATTAATTCTTTCGTAACAAATAAAGGTAATCACAAATGGAGAATTTTAAGTGGTGATTTTGTAATTTTGAGAACGATTCTGAAAAACTGGACGATTGAGTGGAGCCCTACGGCAAAAGAAAATTCAAATTTTAATATTCATTTTCAATCAGTCCTTACGCATACTGCATTCTCAGCTTTGTGAAAAACATAACTAAGACGAGAAATTACCCAAAATGGTCCGACTTTAATTTTGTTTTCAACGTCACCACGTTCTTCATCTGTGATACCCTTTCTGTGGACTCAATTTAGTTTCTTTTTTTATAATTTGAGAGGGCTCATAAATTGGTCTTGTTTCAACTGATTTTTCATGATTCGGATACCATAACGCTCTCATCAGCAGGCAAACACTTCATAATGATGTAGTGCCAAGATTTCAAAAATTGATTTTGTGCAGTGATAGTGAGACTTCAAGCAAAATTTTCAAGGCAACACTTTGCCTTCCAATTGTATTACACAAAAATCTGCACTTAAAAAAGAACAGAGGCCCCAAAACTGAATAATATTAAGTTATGTCATTTCTTTTCAATAGTTACCGATCAGTGAATGTTGCATCACGAATTTTTTAGTCCTAATAGATACAGTAAGTACCTTTAAAAACATCTGTTGCTCAGTAGCTAAGTTTCATACTTTAACGCGTTCATAAATTTTGCTGCGAAGGACTCGGAACCATAATACCAGAAAACGTAACAAAGAGAGGTGGAGACCACACAGAATATAATTTTTTCATGAAAGTTTTCGGTGCTAATAATTCAACCTTGTGCTTCTGGTCTTTTTAAAGGAATTTCAACTTTGAAAACATCAACGGAGTACTGAGAAAAGTTGGCAAGATCTTTTCCTGCAATGAATTGAGTTTTTTTGCAATTGCGTTTAGTGCATCAGTCAATGACACGCTTTCATTCGGCCAAGGTTACCAGATTGTAGGATAAATTGTGCATTTCAAACACTACTTTTTTTAATTAGTATTTTTCTCATAATCTGATAACCATGCGTTAGGCTGAAAAGCCCCAGAGAAATCGTAGCGTTCGTTTCATGGTAAGTTGACTGCTTGCGTCAGATAAAGTGGTGGAGATGAAAATCGGACGTATCCGCAGGTACACTCGTTAATTGGTAACAATCTTTTTTTATAATTACTCCGACCAACTAAACGTTATTTTACAAAACTTGTGGGTCATTTAGACGCTGATTTTTGGTTCCCTGTCTCTTCGTAAGTGTCGAATAGTTGGAAAAAATATTTAAGTGCGTCAAGAAAGTATGTTGGTTTCTATGCAGTACCTTCACCCTTTTATGATAGTCACCGAAATTTAGTCGTTGTGTCAAACTGTTCAAGATTTGTTATAAAAAAGTTTGTCACTATGACGAAATTTCCAATGAAAAAAAACCCAAGGGTTTCTTTTAGAATGCATTCGCTACGGCTAGCTCCTATTCTCAGTAGGTTCAGTAATTGGAAAATTGACCACATTTTGCAGTGAGGAATTTCTATTTTTGGCTCCATGAGAGCACCTATACGCATATGGTTGCCCATAGCAAATTATGTTGTCCCTAAATTCAGCCAGAAATAGTAGCTCTTTATTGGATAATGTAGTTCATACGAATTCAAATGCTTCATCGAGTTCTGCTAAGATTGTGCGACTGTTTCTTGCAACAATTCTTCTTCCTGAAATTGACACAAACATTTATACAAAATTTCTTGCTGAAATTTTATAAGGCCTTGTCTCCACGGGACGTTGTATGGGATTTGTCTCAAGTTCGAGTCGCAGGAATGAAACTTTTGGGATTTTTCCTCATTCAACCAAACAACAAAATTTCTTCCTCTTCTCTATGAGCTGCTCTCAGGACTCTACAAAGACTCTGCTAAGTACTGTGATTAATATTGACCAACTCCATATTTTTACCAACTTTGCAAATCAGATTTTTCACTAGGACAAATCTCATGAAACGCCCCATGGAAACAAGGCTGAAAGTGAGGGCATTGTAGTTCTTTCACGACATGCACTCTTTCTTAACATCTGATGGCGATAAAAATAAGTTTCAAATTTCCACTCTTTAAATGAGACCCAATTCGAAAAAATTTCCCACACAGCATAAATCACCAGTCATCGTCAGCCGAGTTCCTTAATACCATAGTAGCTCCTTCTTTAAAAAAGTAGTCCAAACGACGCATTAAAATTCAAAAGCACCATCCAAGTCTACCAAAGTTGTGCGACTGTTTCTCGCTCCTTGCCGACATTTTAACAGGGCCTCGGCGCACAATGGATCGAGTCAATGAGAGAGGTCGGACAAGAAATTTTTGACTAAAACTGCAAATTTTGATGTTTTTATTGTCATATTTCCAATTTTAAGGGGTGACTGAAGACGAAAATTTCACGAGAAAACCAATGAAACCTCTTTTATAACCTCAAAGTTTCGTATAAACGGAGTTATAAGCTTTTAAAGTTTCCAAATTATGTCCGTCATCGCCTATTGACTCGATCCACTGTGCGGCGGGGAGCGGAGGGTTTCGAGAATATTTTGTCTCTGGGTGTTCTCGCAATGCCGCCATCGCCCGATGTGTATCAGAATTTGAGGTTAAGCATGCGAGTTTCATTTCCGTTTCCGTCTGGACGCGCCAACTGGCAGACGAGGCGAAGCTCGTTAATTTCAAACTGGTCCGCACGCACGGTTGGAATCTCCTCTGATTTTCCTCGTGTCCAGCTCCGGCTTGCGGGTTTCGGAGCCGTCAGGTTACGCGCGACAACCGTGCATGCTGGATTAGAGGATGCGTGCATCTTAATTTAGCAGGTTTTCAACTGCCCGCAATGCACACAACGCACTGTTACATCACACAACAAAGATTGATAGCCCGCGCACATCTGGGCTTGACCAGGATTACGCCGCACTCGGTTAATGGTCGTGTGCCCGTAATTAAGGCTGTATCCAAATAAATGTGTTACGTTTAGAGGTGTGTTGACCCGTGCTCTCAATTCACGAAATCTCGAATGCACACTGGAAAAAAACCACATTGGGTCTAGAATCCAGACTCTTGAAAACATTGATAAGGAAAAATACTCTTGATTCGATCGGATCTTTGCTTGAATCAACACGAAATCCGCTTAAATTAAGAGGCTCGGTTTTTGATTTAAGCTAGATTCTGATTGAATCAAGAGTACTTATTCTTGTCGATGTTTTTAAGAGTCTGGACTCTAGATCCAATGTGGTTTTTTTCCAGGGTAAGAAGTTTAGCACCGCAACTAATGTTAAAGTTTTTCATGACAAGACACTCATTTATCCTGAAATAGGTAATAGGATTTTTTTGTTTAAAAAAAAAATCTTTAGGAACTCTGCCTGATGATGGGACGGTTTTTGCGGTGCTTCAATGCTAACAATGTTCGGTGGTCCATAATCATATGAAACTTGTATTAGTTCATCACGAATCGAGATTTTTAAAATTTAATAGTTACCAACTTTATTTTTAGGATCAAAAGTTTCCAATGCCTTTCACTTAGATTTACATAGAAAAATATTCTTACGATTTAATCTCGTTTTCTGTTCAGTGTGTTAGTATATCCTCTCCTAACGCTTCATGAAACTCAAAAACAAACCTAGCGGTTTTTTAAGTTGCCAAAAAGAGTGACGATGAAAAAAAAGTTTTGTTCCTGAACAAATGAGAACAAAAACTAATTAAACGATTAGAGTCACTACATGTACCTAGTTAAATTTTTTGGCTCAGCGTCAAGCTGATCCTGACGATGAGATAAAATGTTGCGTAGAAGAAAGAACCTTTGGAGCGATACTTTAACGCAACATAGTTACTTAATGTCTAATTTTAAATTACTTTTCAGCTCTCTGAGTAATATTAAAATTTTGGAGGTTCATAAAATTCTATGTAAATCTCCTACCATATAGTTCCTAATTTTAACTGATACTTAAGTAAATGCTCTGTTTTTAGGCGTATACGAAGATGAGTCGATGAAAGAATCATTCACATCTAATGACGCTATCAAATTAGTAATAATTATTTTTAATAATTAATTACGGATTCTTTGGACTTTCCAAGCTGTCCACAATGTTACTTTGGATTCTTTATCCCATTCAAGACCATAATTTTATGCATGTGATATTTTATGTACCTGTGTTTACCTATAAAATGGGAGGTTGTTCATCGTAAATTTTCTATTGTGCTTTTTCTTTATCTTTCATGTTTAATTTTTTTGCACGACCTGAAACTTTAACTGAGATCAACATTGAACAATTTTACATTTTACGTTAATCTCTACACTTTGCTTTGGATTCACATTATGTGAGTTTGCATTTTTTGGAGATTATACATGAACAAGATTTTTTATATGCATAATGCAGATGAAGGAAAATGTTAATTTCTTCACTGCTTGTCTTCTCACTCCGCATTTTGATTATCGTTAAGTTTGTGTCTTGTAACCAAACAATCCAAATATATTGTTCTTAGTTTTAAAAAAATGGACGAAAGCCATCAAGCGCTCTAAATCCGTAAAGTTTCCCTCATATTTGAATTGATTGATAGATTGACTGTATGCAATAAATTTTCTATTTTTTACATCTCCTCGTTTTTTCAATGTAATCCCAATCACAGTGTTTGAACGAAAGAAGGATCCTCAAATCACGATGTTTGCCTTTCATGTATCAAATTTAAAAGTCATTTAATTAAAATTGAGTGGCTTGGAAGACGAGTGAAGTAAGTGCAGTTTCTGACAAAATTAAGATATTAACTAATCCAATTATAATTAGTCTTAAAATATATTCTGAGAAAAATTCACTGCTAAAATGCAATTTCCGAGCATCAACACAAGGTCTGGATCGTTCTTTCCATCATAAGGCTCCATGTAATTTTGAAACTTTAATGACGTTTTTCTTGAAATAGCAAGACTGCACTTATCCCACATGACCTTCAAACTCCTCAATTATTCTTATACAATTATATAGTGACTCTTCACGAACATTGATCTTGGTTTCATTAGACAGCTATGAGTCTGTTCATTCCAACAAATCCAAGAAAAAGCCTCTACCTATCTTACTTCTGAAGTTTTATCATATGTTACCCTGCTTTTTGAGCAGCCTATGCATTTTAAGGCAAACTTTTTTTTAAACGTAGACAAAACTCATCATTCTTTTTTTTTTTTTTTTTTTTTTTTTGTAAATAAACCTGATTATGAAAATTTCAGTCAGAAGTAACATGAGCGTCCTCCTCTAGAGTTATTTTTATATAACATTAATGTCGCCACAGTGAAAAGCAGAGTCCAAGTTGGTCAATCCACGATTCACTAACAACATGTATCAAAAGGTTTCCAACTTATCAACGCTCTAGAGTCTAGTAACTTACCCTTATTTTTCTATTACTTTTTCCGAAGTCGAGTCGTTTTCAAATCGATTTTTCTAATTAATGAATTTCCTTTTTTTGAAGACATTTTTTTTAAAGAAAAATATAAGCAACCCAAAAAACGAAACTATGAGCGTTGTGCATGGTAGCTGAATCACAAAAAATCGATAGTTTGAAAATATCCAGGAGCCGTGTAAGAAAGAGTTGTCAGAAATCCGACTGTCACCTAAATTTGTGACAACCTCCACTCACTAAGCAACTAGCTAATTGTATAATTTTAGCACTCCACCATTTCACTAATTGTGAGCTGCATTCCACTTGACGGTAGCAGTAATGGACCTCTAAATGAGAAGCGACTAAAGTATTATGACATATGTCTTCTCATCATAATTTCAAGCAGAACACGATTTGTGCAACGAAAGTATCTGGAAGCAGGTACTCCGAATCAAGATATTGTCAGCCGAGCAGTGTTCCCTCTCCACCCTGTGTTGTTCAAAGTATAAAAAACGTGCAATAGCTGAGCCTCAGCGCTCATGCTATTGCATGGCTATTCGATGCATAAATTCGAACTTCCTGCTCTTGGGAAAAAATTAAATCGCAAAATAAACGCCACAGTGACAATCTCTGTGGCGTTAAAATACGAAAACCTCAAAATTACCGCTTCGACTCAGCTATTGAACGTTATTCAGACATTCATTAACACAGCGTGAGGAAGGGACAATGCTCGATTGAGAGGGCATACCAAACCCGTTTTAGTACACGATTTGATTCAAGTCGACCCATGTTTTTCTGGTGAGCGGAAAATTCGATGTTCTTGTGACCAATACTGGATAAAAACTTTACTATCTTGGTTTGGAGTAAATATCAGTTATTTTCGTTGTCCGAATCGTGTTCTACGTAAAATTTAGGTTAGAAATGTATCAGAGTGATTAAATTCATACTTAGTCAAGTGGTCTATTGGTATTTAGAAAAAAGTTCTTCAAGGCCCCAAACGAACAATACTCAAATAAAAATGTATGACATCGTCATCTTCACGTATGGCGATTGATTGGTATGACATGACATATCGCCGGTGTAAGTCGGCAATCACATAACTCGTTTGTGGTGTCTGAAATTCTCCGCCTCTGTGTTATTTCTTTAAAGGAGAACAAATTGGCATGATTTGTTGAAGTTTTTGCAGAATTTTTTTCGCACATAGAAGAAAAATCACTGCAGTTTTAAAGAATTGCCGTTGAGTAGTTATCGGTTTAAAAAATAAAGTATGATAGGAAGTCTGCGACGTCGCAAATCGAGTTATGTGATTGCCAACTTACACCGTCGATATTGATCGAAAAATTACAAAACCTCACCAAACCAGTGAGCTTAAAACGAAAATCGCATGCATACCTCTGTGAATAAGTTGAAGTGTATATTCAGCAACTAGTGGTTCGAAAGGAGGGGTTGCGGGCCCCTCCACGGAATCGGGACATTTTTGGATATTTGGCAGTTGACGATGCGAATTTAACAATAATAGTCGAGTTTTGCCAATATTCACATTTTTTGGCTGCGAAACAGGGGCCTACTGATGGCTCCGGGGCCCAATATTGCTGAAAAACCGCGTTTTTCGCGGTTCTACATCAGATTTTGACCTGAGCCCAAATATGTTGGTTCATGAGCTTCGAATATGATGCAAGGAACATCTAAACACGTGACAAACTGGAATATAATCAACTTTTGCCTCTGGACCCAAGTTCAAAATTGAACTTTTCAAAATTTTTACCCTAAAGTAGCTGAAAATCCATGTTTTCAGCGCTAATACCACAGATTTAAACCTAGGCCCAAAGGTGACGGGTCATGATCTTCGAATATGATGGAAGGGGCACCAAGACACGTAACATAATGGGACATGATCATAATCGTCGCCTTTAGGCCCATGTTAAAAACCACCGAATATTGCCTTTTTTTATTGTTCCATATCGTTTTTTTTACTGAGTCTAAAGATGGTTGGGCCAAAAGGCGACTTTTGATCCGATTCTAGTATGTATGTGCCT